GTTTAATATTATAAACATTATAACTTAGAATTTAATTTGAATATCAACTTTACATCAAAGAGAAAACATAATAACATATATTATATAAGATATTTACAATAATTTAAAGCCCATATCCAGACATATTTTGTAAAAATGAAATAATGACTAAAAAATATTTAATAATAATTTGAATGAATTGATAAATATATTGCAAATCGTGTCGACTATAGACATAATGTGTTGTTTGCGATGATATCTTCAATGAGATCAAAGAGGGTCTCAATATTGGGAAATGAGTAACAATAAGACTGAATCAAAACGAGCCAACAGTTAAAGGCATTGTCATTGACTTTATCGCAGACTTCTTCGTATAAATCGTTAGCAAAATAAAAGTCCTGAGAATAGACACCAAAAATAAGATTCAATTAATATATAAATATATTTTACAACAATTCTTATGTTTTCAAACAAATAATAAAAAGAAAATATAGAAAAACTGTTTGATAGCATCAAAGACATGATTTTCGATTCAACTAGAGATTAGTATTATATAAATATTAGAAAATAAAGTGTTAAAAGCTTGGCAAAACAAGACAACAAACAAGATATATATATATATATCAATGGCATGTTTTCATAACGTCTTCGCTCTCGAGTGTAATTCATATGTGAATTAAATACAAAAATAAGAAAAATTAACGGAAATGTAAATTAGAATAAGAGTCGATAGGGTTTCAGATTATAAGTGTTTTGTAAAAATTCGTGAATTAAATGAAAAATAAAATCCATTTAAACGGCAAACATCAGTAAATGCAACAAACATTTAATGCAAAGCTATTGTGAAATTATCTCTTCGTAAACATAAACACAAACTAATAGTACTTAAAATAATAACAAAAACATATTGTGATTGAGAAACAGTGTTACTATAGAGAAGGTGTGGGATTAGGAGCACTTTCAGCGAAAACAAATTATTTAGATTATGTTTTTTGATGCCATGAAATGATGTCACATCTCATACATTATTATTACATAACAAACATAACTGCGGTTTGAAAATAACATCTAAATTTAGTCCTTAAACTAGATATAAGGAGTCAATAATTAAACAAATTTCACTATTTTTCTAATTTTACTCTTTTTTCGTAATTCATTTTAAAATCAATTTTGAAGCACTAATAAGAAAAAACTAAAATGACTTAAAACTCAATATTGAAAATAAAATAACAATAAATAAATAAATTGAATAAAAGAATTGAACGGAAGGAAGAAGTCTTGCCTCCAATTCGTTCAATGGTTAAACAGTGGGCACACGTGAGGGCAACGCCTGTAATAATAGGCGTTTGACAGTAGTTCTTGACCTCCGTTTACGTGTTCTGTGAGGCCTTAAGTGATGATACCATTGCTTTAAGAAGAGAAAGAGCAGAACCAACACAACTAATAAGATAAGTGTTGTGAGAGATGGGAGCCGTACTTCCGATTCTTGATGAGTGAACAGACCGGACGTATCCCAACGCGAGGAATCGTAGTGCTCGAAGTTATGCGACAATTGTTTCGATTGTGGCAAAGATATACCCATATCTATACCACTCACTGACAATAGTTTTTGCGATTTATACAGATTTGTTGGCAAAGACTTGTTCAGTGGAACCGGTGTTTCGTATTTCAGAGACAAACACGAGGGAAGACTACGGATAGTGTGTGTGTTTTCTAAATGATTCTCCAATACTTTGGAATATCTATACAAATGGTTGCCTTCCATTCGTTGCGGCAGTTCTTCTAACATATGTAGCGACTTGTCGTCAGTGGCGCCGCTCTCCACTTCATTCGCCTTTATGTCCTCCTCTTTAAGCGTTTCTTTAAAAATAATGGGAATCTTTCCGGTGGTGGAGAACTGGAGGAGAGCCTCGAGCATCCAAAAGCAGTCCTTTTGCATGTGAGCCGTATCTAAACAATTGGAATCGCCGTAAACAGAGAGACGACCTTTTTGTTGGCCCGTTTCGCTGTGCGGGCCATACATTCCCAGTATCGGCACGTTATGTATCTCTTGTTTCTGTCCGTTTAGTATTTCCAATCCCTGATCGTTAAGACTCCGTTTGAGTAAAAGACTGTCTTTGAGTGGAAACTTAACAACACTGGAACCGGAGGCGAAGTACATGTCGTGAGTGCCGATCTTGTAGTTCCCCTCAAACACATAATCACCCAAAACTATACCCCACGACGAGAGCAGATCATTGATGGCCGGAATGTTGGCGCCTCCGGTGTCCGGTTCCCACCACTGGCGAGTGTTCTCGTCGTAAAATTTCACTTTTTTCATGACAGTCACGTTATACCAGTCGGCAAACACTATCACAGACAACCCGTCGTCAAAATCACGTTTCAGTTTTGTTATCTCTTCGGGAAAGTACTCTTCTTCGGGATCGACGATGAGTAGTGTCCCGTAATTTTTGGCATCAAAACAGGTGTAGGGAGAGCCCAACACTTCCACGTAATAGCCGTTAGTCTTCAAGTGTTGGTACATATCTTTGAAATTAGTGCTGAAATCAAATTGTAATGTAATGTTAACGCACTTTAAGACACAAAAAACAATTGCTCAACACTTACTGAATGTGGTCTCCGTTCCAATCGAGCGGATCGTTCTTCATGTGGAGATTGTCGCGCGGGAAATACCCCGGAGGGTAACGAAGGTTATGGTATTGATCCCATAGAATGCGCTTACTTTTGGGCGGAGTGGCCATTATCTTCACTTTTATGGGCAATTTAATGTCAGATCTCTGGGGTTGACCTCCACTCTCACTGGCAGGCGATTCAACAGTTAGTGAGATGTGTCCCTGAGCTATGCCTTCCCAGTGCTGGGCATCGGCCGACACCGAGATGTATATAGCCATCCATCCACTCCACGGCCATAACATATCTGAGTGAGTGATCGCAATATCCAAGTATTGGCCGTTTTGAGGGGTGTATGGATGCCATTGGGGTTTACCACTGATAATACCCGTCACTCCCATACCATTCAAAATGGTTACGTTAACAATAGTAGGCATTGCGCTGTAGTATAGGGGTTGAGTACAATAGGGCCACATATAGGGACAGTCCGTCAAATCGAGATAACTGGGACTGAGAGTGGCCTGAGGTCTGTACGAACGAAGCACTTGATAGGCGCGAACCAAATCAAGTTTACCCCAACCTTGTTCAAAGATGGCAATGTTCGGCAAACGTCTGGCCGACGCCATCAACGCCTGCTTCATAGACGCCGGGTTTATGGCGTTTCCCATATGAAGCACAGCACTCATCAGTAGAGTGACGGCACCGGCGACTACGGGCGACGCCACCGATGTTCCCGACAGAGAACGACAGCCGCCTTTGATACTCGAGCCGCGAACGGCTGAACCGTAAGTCACGATATCTGGTTTGACGCGTCCGTAACCGGCGGGCAATTCCCAAGTAGTCATTCCTCGCGAAGAGAATCTGGCGATTTGGTCCTCAAAGTTGATGCCTCCGACGCCTATCACATCCATTTGATCCGCCGGATTGTTAAGCGTTCCATAGAGTGGTCCGTCGTTTCCGATGGCAGAAATCATTATCACATTATTAGCGGTCAATTCCCACACTTTATCGACAAACGGGTGGTCCATAAAGTCCGGGCCACCGATGCTTAGGTTCAAAACATTGATTTTCTTCAATATGGCGTAATTGAATGCATCCAAAAACCAAGACGTGTACGAAACCTGATTATTGGTAAACACGCGATACACGTGCAGCTCAGCGTCCGGTGCGAAACCCAAACACTCTTTACTACTGGTGACCACTCCGGCCACAAACGTGCCGTGACCTAACCCGTCGTCAAACGTCTTCTCGTTGGTCCAATTGGTTCGCTCTTTGATTCGTTTGAAGTGTTGATGATTTTTGGGTAAACCCGTGTCAAACACAGCGACCTTAACGCCCGCACCAGTGATACCCATTGCCCACAACACGTCCGCCTGTAATACACTTGTGATCTGTCGGGGAATAGCCCTCAACAGACGTCGCCGGGAGTCACCACCGCTTCCGCCAAAACTAAAGCTGAAGGCATTGAGCCATGAAAGCGATTGTCGGGATCTGAACGCATGTCTGTCTGTTGTGTTGCGATTCCAACACAACTGATCATCGCATGAGTCCATCAATTCATCCAAATCGTCGTCAAAGACATCATATTTGGATGAATTGACAAAATTAATGAATCGTGTGATCATCTTCTGTGGCACAACATTCTTGATGTTTGGATGCGTTTCCAGTGTTTTGGCCAACAGTAGGGAATCGACCGCAGAGTTCACGTGAAGGACATCGAAATCGCTGGGAAAGTGTTGGCCCGCATTCTGGCGAGAGATGATCTGCCAGTCGTTGGACTCAATCCACGAGCCGTTCCCGTAATTCTTCAGCGCATATGTTATGAAACGTCTTCGCGTTTGGCTTTTATACAGACTTTTGAAACTTATTATATATTCTGAAAGATTTGGACACAAATGCAAAGACAAGATAATAAGTGGCAATAATAATGATATCAATAATGTGGTCATTCATACCATTGTTAACAATGTGTGTCTTGTAGTCGATGTGGATCTTCTCACTCATAATTGTCTCACATTTGTGTGAATCAAGTGATTGTGAGTTCACTTCGGATGCGATTATGAATTGTATAAACAATGAAATGATTAGACAATTGATTGATAACAACATAACAACGCTTTCATTGGTTTCGCAATTAAATCACATTTTAATCATTGATTTTCACCATTTGTTTCACAATTTCTTTTCTAAACAAAAAGTCTATATTTGAGTACATTTTGCAAAAAATTGTCATTTGTTTTGACAATTAATGCATTGTTTTGTGTAAAGTGTATAACAATATCGGCATTGAGTACACAATAGACATGAATTACTCGTTATTATTAATAAACGCATTGTTTTCTTGTTTTGATCACAATTTATAATTCAATCGCTTTTTTCATAAATAAATGCTTTTTAATGAAAACATTCATATATTGTGTTACGACCAGTGATTGGGTCCGACATATGTTTACGTATAGACATTGGCTTTAAGTCATGTTTGGGTTTTGTAGTAACACTTGTGTTGTACTGTTGTTTGTGAACACAATGACAGTTTACTGAAGGCATGAAAACATTGATTTATGGCGTGTTTTGATGGCACGAGTGGTGACCTCTTTGTACCACTTTTTCATTATTATTACAACTTTTACAATAATTAATTAATTGTTAACAATTTACTCATACAGTATTACCCCGTTATATGCAAATGATTGGTGTTACACAAATATGCTCCTTATAATGGTTAAATCATTTGACTTAAATGCAAACATCATTAAAATTGCACAAAGAGCCATTTAATCATTTGTTCCTATACTTGGCATTTCCAAGTTTATTACAATTGAGTTGTACTGTATATTTAGTTTTAATTCCTTTAAACCGATTAATTAAACAAAATACCGAAAATTGATTATTGAAAATAAATAAGTGTTTGGGTATTGTTTGTCTGAGTGTTGAGTACATGTCTAACTCGTATATCCTAATCGTATAGAAGGGATAAACATATTTGTATGTGAATACAAACTGTAAGAATATATGGCATATTATTACAGAATATTCTTATTATATATTCAAACATATACTACAACTCATAGTAAGCTATAGTCCATAACTAACGAGAAANTATCGATAATGTGGTCATTCATACCATTGTTAACAATGTGTGTCTTGTAGTCGATGTGGATCTTCTCACTCATAATTGTCTCACATTTGTGTGAATCAAGTGATTGTGAGTTCACTTCGGATGCGATTATGAATTGTATAAACAATGAAATGATTAGACAATTGATTGATAACAACATAACAACGCTTTCATTGGTTTCGCAATTAAATCACATTTTAGTCATTGATTTTCACCATTTGTTTCACAATTTGTTTTCTAAACAAAAAGTCTATATTTGAGGACATTTTGCAGACAATTGTCATTTGTTTTGACAATTAATGCATTGTTTTGTGTAAAGTGTATAACAATATCGGCATTGAGTACACAATAGACACGAATTACTCGTTATTATTAATAAACGCATTGTTTTTCTCGTTTTGATCACTATTTATAATTCAATCGCTTTTTTCATAAATAAATGCTTTTTAATGAAAACATTCATATATTGTGTTACGACCAGTGATTGAGTCCGACCTATGCTTACGTATAAACATTGGCTTTAAGTCATGTTTGGGTTGTGTTGTGACACTTGTGTTGTACTGTTGTTTGTGAACAAAATGACAGTTTACTGAAGGCATGAAAACATTGATTTATGGCGTGTTTTGATGGGACGAGTGGTGACCTCTTTGTACCACTTTTTCATTATTATTACACATTTTAATTAATTGTAAACAATTTAATCATACAGTATTACCCCGTTATATGCAAATGATTGGTGTTACACAAATATGCTCCTTATAATTGTTAAATCATTTGATTTAAATGCAAACAATTGAATATTAAAATTGTACAAAGAGCCATTTAATCATTTGTTCCCTATGCTTGGGATAACCAAGTTTATTACAATTGAGTTGTACTGTATATTTAGTTTTAATTCCTTTAAACCGATTAATTAATTAAACAAAATACCGAAAATTGATTATTGAAAATAAATAAGTGTTTGGGTATTGTTTGGATGAGTGTTGAGTACATGTCTAACTCGTATATCCTAATCGTATAGAAGGGATAAACATATTTGTATGTGAATACAAACTGTAAGAATATATGGCATATTATTACAGAATATTCTTATTATATATTCAAACATATACTACAACTCATAGTAAGCTATAGTCCATAACTAACGAGAAAGTAAAACTAAAATTATTAAAATTACAAACATTACAAAAGATTTCGAGGCTATTTTACATATCGATTAATTTATAGTTTTATATAACTGTGATTGTTGCAATTTAATAAATTACATATAAATATAATTTATGTTTACGTTAAATATATAAAAATATGTTTTTATATATTTAATAAAAGCATGTGATAACTGAATCAATTATACCGAGATTTTATACTATAAACTTTATAGTATAAAGTATTATGAAATATAACAAAACTGAACGGAATTCTGCTTTAAGTCAATTAACAATATGTGTTCATTCAAATGATTTATGAGATCCGGTAGTTATCATTGATAATAATAGTGTGTTCTATACACCTATGGTAAATGATCATGTACTTTCATTTAAGATTCCAACCCACATGTAATGCTTGTTATGGCATTAATAATATGTTTAATTGTAAATGAAAACAAAATCACGAGTATTAGTGTTATTGTAAACTAAACCACTAAACGAGTAATTGTTTGTTATATAATTCAATATTGTAACAAAACTCGTGATATTGTTGTGTTAAAATTAAAATGTGATTGATAAATAAATAAAATAAAAATATGGTATTTTATATAGAATTTAGGTCTAAATAGTGATTTGAGGACATATTTCGGTCATATTGTATACAATTTGTACATTAATTGCATAACAGATACAAGTTATCTAACCATTGCGTCACTAGTCATCTGATTTGTAATAAATTATACCGTATTTGTTCACAGAGTATCACTTGTTTTCGTATATTTTGCTCAAAAACTAATTAATTAATTATTAATCCTAAATGTATTTCGTATTTCACTAGAATTCAGAAACAATTATTATAAGTTATAACATAATGTTGTTGTGGAAAAATTTTTGGCTTCAAAAGTGCTTTCAAATTGTTTTTTAAAAATAACTGATTTACTGATAAATTTAATAATATTTCAAATGTTTGTAATAAAAACTTTATATCAAATATCAATCACTAAATAACTATTTCTTTCAAAAGTTGGTGAGAAAACGGGTATCAAATTTTCAATACATGTATAATCGATGGAATTTTTAGATAATATTTGGATCCTATCGTCTAATGCGGGATATTATAGTATTTTATCAAAAAATTTGGAATTTTTTACTCAATTCTAAATATTTTTACAGTAAATGAGTTTCGCTGTATTTGTTATCATTAAATAAATGAATGGAAATGTTTTATCATGAATAATTTGTTTTATACATTTTACTTTCAATGTTTACACATATTTTTATTGTTAATTCAAGAGTGAATGGCTTTACAGTTAAATGAATTACTTTTACTACTGTTTATAAGTTAGTAAACTATGTGTTTGTAAACTATGGGCACATTTGTGGACACACGTGTTGATCACAACAAATATTTTGTAAAACATTTTCTGAATTAAACATTTGATAAGATTTATGGAATAACTCTTTATTTATTATTTTACATTTTTAATCATGTTAATTCATTAATTTGTTATTTGGAATTTGTGAGAATTGCTTTAATTAATGAAGTGTTGCACTAATCTTGATTTTATTGCATGATTATTTTTAACCACAATTCAGCATTTGTTGTTTATAGCATTAAGTTGTCCTTCCCTTTCTATGGTAAATATCTTGGTATTAAGTTAATATCCCAGTTAAGTCTTTAGCTATACCTCAACATGGGGTTAATGTTGTCGAAAGGGACGTTCACATATTACTTTTGTGTTTTTGTTTTTATTAATAGATCACTAAATTAACAACTTTTATCAAAAAGCAATTTATTTAAATACTTAATTTGTCGAAAACCCATTATTATTTTGTAGTTTAGAATTCATACTTTAAGTAAAATAATCACAGAATATATAACAGAATTTGTATGAATCCTTAATAAATTTGAAAATTTTAAAGAACCAAAATAACGTAGTTATTTTAAATGGAAAACGTTTTAATTAGCTTGATGTTTATATATTTTACCACATTAAAACTACCTACTTTATGCTTAAATTTAAAGTTTAATTGTGAACCGAGATGTGGTCGGAGAACCTTGTTTATATATAGTTTAGTATAAACTTTGATAATCTGTTATTAAATGTCTTTGAATTATAGTATAGATTACAAAAATAATAAATATTTGTAATTTAACGAATTTATTTATAACCATTTATTTAAATTTAATGACAGAATATACTTTTAGTTTCAAACATATTATAACATAAATATCTCATATCATTTGATTAAAAATATATTTATATATGAAATTACATTATTCAGGACATCTTATTATCGACACATGTATAATTTTATTATATACAGTAATATCTAATCAATAGATTCAATACAAGTTATATTAAAAGTATCTGATTCTTCATAATAGGGTAAAATTGAAGCTCACTCTTATACACGTATACCACTATTATATCATACCATTAAAAATATTGAATGATAGAGTAGTAATGGTTAATTCAATATACAATCATTTAATTATTAGTTCAATGAATTCTTAACATTTGATGTGTTTTATATACTTTTATTAAACATTTAGATGAAGTTTGATTGTATA